GAAAATAAAATCTGTCATTTTAGCAGCTCAGCTGTGGAATAAAAAGAGCTGCTAAAAGTATAAACAACTGTGTTAAATCATTTTCATTTATTCAGAAGCCACGGCGCTGCGCACCGACATTTAAAATTATAACTCTAATTTAAGCAGAATAGCCTATTGTCAAGATAAATATGGAGTGTAATTTATTTTCAACTTAAAAAATCTTCAAACTAACGAAATATAAAGTTATTAGTGAAGAAAACCCATCTGGATAACAGCAGACTGACTGCTCGTAAAATATACGACAGGTCTGGACCACTCGTGAATTTTGTTCGTATCTGAAAAAAATCGTAAAATACGAAAACATTGGTGAATGCCACAAATTCTCCTAAATCACTCGTACACAACTTAAGAACAAATCTGTGCGTACGAACAGTTCTTGCATGAGGCCCAATGAACCTGAACACAGCAGCAAACCTACAACAGCACAGCTGAAAAACAAAATAATCCAAATGTTACAACGAACCAGTCAAAGTCTAGACATAAACCSGAGTGAAATGCTGAGGTGGGATGTTAAGAGCTGAGCAAATGTCTGCAAACCTCAATAAACTGAAACAATTTCGTAAATAAAAGTGGGGCCAAAATTCCTCCAGAATGATGTTAGAGTCTGATTACGTCCTGCTGAAAAGTACCAAGAGTTATTGCTGGTCCTATAAAGCTACAGTCGTGTCACAACATTTTCATTTTCTCCTTGTTTTTGCTTATTAAATAAAGGCATGGTGGAATTTGTCTTTTGGTAGACTCAAAGTTAAATTTGAAYCATTTCAGAACCTTGTAAAGACTTAATCTTTTGATTTTGTCTTGATAAACAGAACTGAAAGAGTGGACTTTTTCCCCCATGACTGYATATCTGACTAAAATCCTTTTTTCATCCATGTATTAAAACTCCAGAGGAAATCTGAATGTGCTGAATATTCTACAGCAGGGATCCTCGCCCACATGCAGCGTAATCGTGACTTTGTTACTTCAAATGGTTTAGTGTAGGTTTCCGTTTTTTTTAGGTCTCATGTAAACCCTCTGAGTTCCTGACAACCTGAACCACCACAGTCAGACCATTTAAAAAACAGAGGAAAGTTCCAGTGGAGGCGSAAATCATAACCCTGTTGTAACCGTGGCTGGCACTGGCAGCAGCAGCGCTGGAAACTTGAGTAAATATATTTATGTTCTTTCCTTAAAAGCACTCGTGGTCCAAAACGACCTTTTCCAATTCCTCTGTACGGTTTATTCTAACCCCTCCCCCGCAGGCATCAAGTTCCCATGGAACAACTGCTGGATGATCTGAAGTCTGGGAAAGCCCAAGAAAAAACAAAACAAAACAAGAAAATCAACTAAGGGAAACACTGTTTGCTTCGTCACCACATCCCAGCTTGTCTCAGTCAGAGGGCTGTGCTGACAKATCCCTGACACATTTGTTTTTGAAAACAGAAGAATGCCTACTTCAGATGTTTACGCCTGTTTGAAATCACTTAGCAACTAAACCGTGTCAGTCAGTTCAAGGCGCCCAAYGCATGACTGTATGTTTCACAACAATGCAGCAAGGTGCATATCGTCACCATTAAGCCTTGGCAGAAAATTCATTCAGTACTTGATACAAACTGATCTTTAACAAAGACATTGTTACACAGAAACATTAACTGATTTTTATMTTTTATAAAACACCTTTTGTTTATTATCCTAAACCATGTCACACATTTAGCTTTAGCTAATGAAGCAATGTTTCATTGTTTAATTAAGTGAGTTTCTAATGTAAGTAAGTAAAGTTTYATTTATAAAGCGCCTTTCACAGAAATACTGTCTTCATAAGGTGCTGTACAATTAATGTAAAAATGGTGGAAAGATAAAATAATAAAAAATAAAAATAAATAATAATAATGCTCCATGTCAAGATTTTGTGATGCAT